ATTTAAAATAATTTTAAGCGCTATAATATATGTGCATACTATAGTTATACTGAATAATATCTGGTTGACGTTTTTTCTTTGCATTTCTTTACTTCTTACCACAAAACATAAAAATTAAGTTTGTTTGTTAAATTGTTGAATTATTGTGACATACGTGTGAAAGATAAGTATCATAATATATTTATTTTGACACTAATTAAATAGTCAGTTTTAATTTAGTAATTTGTTATTTTTAGCTTATACTTATTATACTTCATAACTCGCAGGGTTGACCTAAATGATTCCCACGGCATAGATTCTTTGTCTTCCATTCGGCTATAAAATTTGTATAAACCACATTGGGCTGAAGTCAGAGGCTAAGTTAGCATTTCGGTTAAGCGTGCATGCCACAAGCTCATTTAAATCGCCCAATAGCCACCGACACATTAATTCTTGAGTTTTACTTACCAAGCAGTTGTAGCGTCCATCATTTATTTACCGGTGCCGGCGCGGCACTATAAACGGTCGGAGTAACTGCGGCGCCGGGACTTAAGTGAATATTTTACGTATTTATAACTGCAAAATCGTCCCCGAGTGGCAATAACGGTAGTATTATGCTAACCCCTTTTTGGGTTACGGCTGAGAGGCACAACTCGGGGTAGAAAAAAAACTAGCGAGGACGAGGAATACCAAAAGCATATGAAAGTTGATCGGAGACAATACGAAGATAAGTGTTTCACCTCCCCTATCGTCTACTTGCCGCCCTCCGTGGTCTTAACTCCAGCGCGGTAAAGTCGTTTAAATGAATTCTTCAAGACACGTACGGACGTTTATTTTTTTGTTTTTGTATTATGTCCCTTTATAGTTTGCCCCGGGAATACCATTTTTAACCTACAACTGGGCCCGGTGGGAGTTTTGTGCATGGAAAACTGTCTGCGTGCATCTGAAATAGCACTGTCACTTTTTAAAAAAAAATAAGAAAACACTCGATACGCATTGAAGAGCAAAGGAAAAGGTGGTGTGCAGAAGCCAGCAACGTCATTAGGGAATCTAACGTACATGATTGGTATGAAACACTGCTGACGTCTGGAGCATTCGATGTAAACTGTTCGCCCTCTGACGTTTATTAAATTTTTCCAACTTTACCAACTGATCAAACATTTTAGACAGGGTTCAATACCTGTGTTGAGTACTTATTGTTAGTGCGGTAGAGGCTTTTGCCATTTAGGTGTGTATTTATCTCGCGCGGGGACTGTCAGTATTAATTGTTTGTTTCCCATTTTTTTTTTGTCATTTAATTTAATATTTTTATAAGCGGTTTGTATTAAACCATTATGTAATTTCCTTACCTCTTACAGGAAACTAATTTAAGTTGTTTAATCCCAAAAATCTCCACTCGGAAAGCTCATAATTCCGTTTCAATTTTCTTTTTTAATTTAAACTTGAGCGACGACGTACATTACGAGAACATCAAACCCTTTTTAACTGCTAAACGTAATGTGGTTTAGTGTTATGTTCGTCAGAGAGTGATTAAATGCCGCAATTAATCAGAGGATTGTACAAAATAAAACATGTGGAATAATAATAAAACTAAAATTTACAAAAAGAATAATTGTCTAAAATTATTATACAGCCTATCGTGGATTTATTTATTAAAACAATTAAATTAATTAGAAGAACAGTTTTATGAAATTAAACATTTTTTATGAACAACCCGCGACTATACTATGTATGTAGTAGAAAAGTACATAATTCGTTGATTTTATTAAATTTCACACAAAATTAATAATTCAGTACATAGTAGATGTGGACTTTGATGTATTTAATTTTTCGCTTAAGCTATGTACTTTATGAGCTTATAAAAACTACATTAAAAAATATATTATCGAGTTAAAAATTTGATATAAAGCTGGAAATAGCTTATTGGACGTCAATTATATCAATCAGCAATTTTCATAAATAATAGATGGATTTTAAATCTATCGTCTCGTTTCCTACAAAATCTTTTTGTTACTTTGTTTTTTATTATTTGCAAAATATATGATTATAAATGATAATATAATTTCGTATTCCATTCGGTTAGTAAATTTCTTATGAGTTATTGTAAGTCTACAGAAGAAGAAATTTAAATGCAATTTTGCGTAATGCAAAGTATAGACCACTAAAGGAAATATACCTAATATTTAGTAACGTTCTGTAAGAAGGATGCTCTTACAAACGAGAAAGAATAATGTTATTACATAATAATTTTTTATGTTAATCACGTTTAACGAAATTTTACAGTATATTTTTTAAGTATGACTAAGCGTTAATCGCTTGTTAACGTTCAAGTGCCATTCGAAACGTGTCATTTAAAAAAAAACCAACAAAGACTTTATGCTGCTTCCTTTATAAGGCCATTAAACTATTAATGAACAATATACATCTATCTCGACGCTATGAATTAAAAACACAGTTTGTCTAATGATAAAAACTTTTATTATTATTTATTGGCATAAACGTATTTAAAAGGAAATTTTTATAAAGATTTTACTTCAAAGTGCTACAATTTAACATAGCCAAATCTGTCAATGCAATTTTAAACTGTGGTTGTGTGTTCTTTACAAAGCGTTTTTCAAACGATTGCCAAAAACCAGTACTGTAGAAAGAGGTTACTAAATATGTAATCTCTTCACCTCTCCAAAAAATAAAGAATTTATTATTTTTTATATCTATATAATACTGAATTTTTGTTCATAGTTAATTTTTTTAACTTAATCTCTACATCCACTGTTTAACGATGAATACATTTAGGTGTTTTTCGTTATTTAAACACAGTTTAAAAAAAATATTTTGGAAGTGTATATTAAAAATCTATCTTTATTTATGCCTTATTTATTTTACACATAATACGTTTTTTAATAAAACTTTATTATGTTATACAAATAAATGTATTGTAGAATCCTAATTTTATCACTTCAAATTCAACATTATAGAGTTGTTTGTTTTTATTCGAAATTATGTAAATTATGCATAAATAGTATCATTATTCATTGGAATTACTATGAAGATTTTGTAACAAATGTCTGTTAAACCAAAAGTAATATTTGTAACAGTATACTTCCATTGTTGTCTTGATATACTTATATTATATAGAATGTCACCCTACATATAGGTCAAAATGCATACCACAGTCCATTACTTTTAGAGACTTGCCGTGGATATTCTTGGAAACAATGATGCGGACTGTTTGTGACATTTCAGCAGTACATTATTGAAATGGAAAATTCATCAAACGTAACACGATCTCCCATAAACTAGTGACAGCATCCACTTTTTTTTCCTTGTAGCTTAACAAGCCTTGAAAGGTCCATTTTATACATTGTTAGACTGACCTTATATTACACATTTACCTAGTTATTAGAAATATATTAATTTCAATATCTTCTCCGATTAGGCTGGAATCCAACTTAAGTACTAATTCGGGAACAGATTACGAAACAAGATAGTTAAACTGCACATAGTCGTGTTCGACATACAATGTGTAACTATATCAGTCCATTAAATAATTGTACATGAAACATCATACAAGCTAAGACGGTCGTTCAGTACTTGAATTTTGAAATCTATGTTATTAATATTGTGTTTATCAATGTAAAAAACAACATTTTATCCTTAAGTAAAGTTAGGTAAAATTTCACATCTTTGTGGTAAACTAATACAGACAAACTAATATAGTTTTTGACGATTTCACTCGATAATATGTACAACGCTTAATTCGTCTTTTTTCTTGACTTTACTCTTTTGGTTTTTGCTCTTTGAACTGGTTTATATTCTCTAGCTACTGGTTCCCTTAAAATTTAGCCATCATTTATTTGAATATTTTTAATTCGATTTACATAATGTTGTCTTTATTATTTAATTTATGAAAAATTTTCATTAATTATACTGTGTTAGGCTTATTTATTACAAATTTCTACACATAATAACTAAGACAGTTTACCGGAATATTTATTTAAGTTTTACATTTATCTGAAATCTAGTGCTACGCTGAGTAAAACTAAAATTATTATTATAGTGAACTAAGGAGTGAATATTCAAGATTTGATTTTTAAATTAATAGTATAATAAATTGAATAACTTATTAAAAACATTTTAAATATTTAATATGAAAATTGTTCAGGATTAGTATTAACCCGAATTTAAAAAACTGATCTGGGTTGATAACGGTTTGAGTGTTAGGGTTTTGGGGTTGTTATGTGTTAGGGTGACCTTATTTGGGCGCAAAGCCTATTACAATATAAAACCGCAAAAAAATATGGTAAATGAGTACAGGGAGAAAAATGTGCGAACAATAAATTAAAATATGAATAAATCCCTTGTTTATATAGACACGATAAGTATGTGTGTAATCCACATGCCTATGCATTTAACACCTAATGGTATCATTTCCAACACAGATCTATATAGTTACACGTTTATACCACTATTTTATAATTTATGTACTAGATAATGATTCGTAAAATATTTGTGATATTACATAATAGTATTGGTGTAAGAAAATATTTTTCATATATCGGAGGAGACTAAAACAAAAACTAACCTAATTAAACAATAAGTAAATTCTTGTAGGGTCTCGTACCTATATTTTAAACCATTAGTTAGCAAGGGAAAAAACAAAATATTCTTGTTTTTAACACCCACGTGTTACATATTCAGGTGTCGCAACCGTTCTTATTGTCAGTCGAATTTTTATATTTTCCAATAACTGCTAACTTCAGTAACATGGACATGATTCATAAACATGTCTTGTTCTACTGTGCCTGGTTAAGACCACCGACTCTTTTCTTGCAAAGGTCGACAGCAAGCTCGTGCTTGGCCAGCATCCATACGGTCGCTGAGGGTGTCTGCAACAGCGACGTCGGCGATTCCAGTCGCCCTTAGCAACGGTGGATGCGCGTCCGCTACCGGCGCTTGCCTGGAGACAAAAAGCTATCTCGCCGTTATAGTACTACACAGGAAAACTCCAGTGTTGTCACGGCACACGCTCGTGCATCAGCTTTAGATGTGTGTATGCTCCACGACAAAACACACAATAACAATATATGATTATTTTAGATTACCGAGATTTAAATAAAACAACTGTATTAAAAACAAAACATCAACACAGTAATCGATAACTTCAAAACAGTAGAACGTCTTAGCATCGCGACCGAGGTTCGTGTGGTATAGTCGTTAGGTGTTAAAATGAAGGAAAAAAATGACTGTTGCGGTACATTGTTTGGATGTTTCCCTGATTTCAAGCTGAGCAAATCGAAACAGAAACAGACACCAGGTCAACAGGAGAGTCCTGGTACTGTGCAGACGTTTTACCGTCAAAACCGCGGAAAATCTTGCAGGAAAATCATGCGTTTCAATGAATATCCCAACAAAGTAAGGAGATTTTTAAAAATATACTCATTTAAATATTATTGATAACAAATATCAGTGGCTGTCAGTTAGGTGTTTATTATTATCAAAGCTGTGTACGTTAATGATTAGTAGAAGTAACAGATATCTAGTTGTTAAAATATTTAGCTGATTCGTGATTATTCATATAATATCGGTATGTAAATTATAATACTGTAATTGGTAATTTTTAATTTCCTCTTACCAACATATTATGTGCAATCTATGATATTTTACATTAAAAATATTTATGAATAATTTGAATAATTATTCTTTTTTCTTTGTTTATTTTTTTATATAGGCTTAAATATATACTATCGAGCGTTTTAACTGATACGTATATTGTTTCTACCGATAAATTAGGCTAGGTATACTTAAAATATTTTTAATTTAAATAAGGATTATTCAATTGGTCATATTCAACAGATCTCTCGTCAAAAACAATAAAGGCTATCAACACACACTTTTGAAAAACATTAACTTACAGTTTAGAGTTTGTAGTATCCCAAGTACTCCTAAATTTTTCCTAATGATATTGAACATAACTGATCATACAAACTAACATGCATAAGTGAAAAGTAACGTTATTGACATATTTTTGTAGTAAGTATCTACTGTTTAACTGTATACTTTGTTATTATTATCAAATACAACATTATTCGTAGAACTAAAAATTATCAATATAATATTTTAAACATAAATAGAGTGAAGACAAAATAAACTAATACATATTTCGTTATTCATTCTTCATCGTCCTAGTTGTTTTTTCTTATTAGCCTTTATTGGGAAATATGATGGCTCGACAATTACAAAGTCGTTCTAGTTAAAAACAGTAAATATACAATACGATCTGACGCGAGTAAATTTTATGGGGTACATTAAAAACCGACGTACATTTACAGTCGTTTAAAAGGTCTTAAACGAATATTCCGCATACAGGTATTTGGTATTTAGTGCCGAAATAAAGAGCTATTTCTCGACCGAAAACGGTAGTCGCCAAGGCCTAAGGGTTTTACAACGCGCATATTTCAGACGGTTGTATGTTATTACTACAGTGTTAAAACATCTAACAACCTTAGGTCGAAAATTTTACGATCTGGTTAACCGTTTTTCGTAGAAAGCCGAATAGGGTAGGTATTTCGGATTTATAACATTGTCCGTCAATTCTCTGCGAGTGAAATGCTAGATGGAGAACAACGTACGCGATGGAATAAAAATGTATACATAGGTAGGAACAGTTCAATCTCAAGACAAACAAACGATCCCAGATAACAACTCTATTATATTTAATCACATTAATTAATTGTTTACCTTGCCCCGGTCCTTAGGGGGATCGCTGCGGAATTGAGAGATTACCCGGCCAAAGAAAAGGATAAGGGTGCTGTCGCCACTACCGCAATGCCAGTCCCTTGTGCAAATATTTTAATATCTCTGCGCATCGCCCTCGACGCTGTTTATGCATGTATTTTTTCCCGAAAAGTTTGTTTTCATACCGGCCGTTATTTCAATAACACGATATCATAATATTATACTGTATAATCTACACTGTTCGTCATGGTGGCGTAAACGGCTGTTTTGTTGTCATTTAGCCGGTCGTTTCGCAACAATAATAATAAAACGCCGTCATCGCAGCATACAAATATCAATTCTTCCAAAGACGCCGTGTAACATTTCTCGTCGTTTTCCCGGTCGTCTCCAACCAACAGTTATTATAAATTTGTTATTTTTGATATCGTCGTATATGCATTTGCACGTTATAGTATTATAAAAGATGAGTACCCACACGTCTCAATTTTTTCCAATTATTATCTTCTCTCCAAACCTATAGAAATTCGACACAATAATATTATCGTGCGATATTATTTTCCGGTGCATTATACGCATCGTACTTCGGGCTATCGACGTCGCAGCCTATCATGCATTGTATATAAGCACCGAAATTGCCGCACACATCGTGAACGAGAGGACCTGCCGCTGAGATAAAAAAAAATACAACAACGGTAGCTCAAGAAAGACAAAAAAAATATCGCCCTTTTCGCTTAAGGGTTAATAGCAGCAGCACCTCGTATCCCCGTTGCCGATATATAGTGGGTTTTATCCGCGGGCCGTCAGAGGGATTTCGCTTTAAAACAAGGCATCGAGGGTGAGTTCGTCTCTTTTTTTTATATATATTCCGCCTATCCTACACCCCGTCGAGTCGATAACACGGCACTTAAATTAGATTTGCATAGCATTTTGACGCCAAATGGTTTGTACACACCGAAACCCGCCGAACACTATAGTGCATAACGGCCAATATAGCCAGCACATAATAATATAGTACCGTTCATGTACATAATAATAATAATAATTATTGTTACGGTGTCTTTCGGTATCGCTCGATTGTCGGTTTACCGCCGTGACCGGGGGAGAGGTTTCAAAAGTGCACCCAACACACATAAAATGTTTGTTTATATCAAGGGCCGCTATATTAATCTGATAACTGCATAAAAAAATATATGTATATATATATATATATATACACATAATAATGCTCTCGTGCCGCACTTAAGGCCGGAAAGTAAGTGGACATAACAATAATATTATTTAAAAAAAAAGTATCGTTTTCTGCTTTTAAACGAACACCGCACGCCGCGCCGTAAAGAACTTAATCCGTTCAGTTTTTTATTTTATTTCTGTCAGTTGGCCTCGTTTGCTTCGGTTTAATTCACGGTAGAAAAACGTACGCGCGATTAAAATAATGTTTTGGATACTTATAAAAACAATATACATATTTTATTTCACTGAAATAAAACCACTCCAACTCTACATAAATTAATAGTAAATATAAACAGTACTACGTTCCGTCGCTGGCTTTCCATGTCGAGGTTATGTATTTTTTGCCAAATTAAAGTAACATGTCGTATCGTAAATTGCAAATTTTATTAAAAATAATAAAACATGTATGGATAGTTTAGTAGATATATTGGTTTTGGAAAAAATGTTACACGTACTAATTTGTTTGTCATCACACCATAGTAGGTATGATAAAAAACAAATTTTCGGTATCGATTTTGTTTAAACGGGAAATGCATCTCTTTTGTTATTACCTTGAATATGAGCGAAATAAAAAAATAGTGGTTAGTCCTTTGTTGTGTCAAAATTTCTTTGTAAAAAACATTATGCCCGCTGAACGTACACAAAACATTAGCTTTTTAACATATACCGCAAATCACATGGTTATCAACTGTGCACTTGTACCTATATTATATGTATATTTACTTGTTTATTTAGAAATATTTACGTAGCCCATATAGGTATCATACGAGTAGACTTCCCCCGGGTCGTACGACTGAACAAGTGTGCTACCAATGATAACGGTGTTTTATGGGAGACGTTTTCAATTATGTATGTGTACCGGACAGCGGCCACTCAAAACTCCCGGGGGTTTTTATTCACCTGATCGGAGACGTTTTTTAAAAATATATACAATACCGCCAAACGACAATGAATAACAGCAAAAAACGTCCAAGAGGTAAAAAAAAGGAATACCGTATTTCAAATTGCCCGTCGTGGTCCCGGTAGAGTGCCAATAGGGTCACAAAATCGTAAATGGGAAATTCTAATACAAATTACAAATGTAAGGGGACCGCATTGAAATCAAAATAGTCCTTTCACAAAAAGTAGGGAGAAGTGCGGTTAGATATTCGATTAGTTTGTCCAGGAGTCACCGGAAGGTTGACAACGATTCAGAGATTTTTTTTCGTGTTGGCCAACTGCACATTGCTTTTGAGGAAAACTAACTTCATTTCCAGAAAACGTCTTTTGTCAAAATGTGCTTATTTATTTATCAATGACAATATTATGTTTTTTCACTGAATTCGATCGACCAATAAGTTAACAGTGTTCCAAAAGGCAGAAACCAACAATTCATACCCGCACAATGATTATAATTCAAACGTATTCTTCTCTTTCTATGTTATCGATACATTTGAAATATAAAATAAGATATTAAGAATATTAAAAAGTTATGATACATTTATATGCACTTAAAGTGTTAAAGTATCTATTAATATTAGTATGTTTTATATGAAATGTGTGGTGAAACAGAATGATTTACAATGGAATGATGGCTCAGAAAAAACCCATACTTATTTATCTTAGTAATGGGTAAACTTACAAAGAACATATCTAGACAGTAAAATACATTTATATTTTATAAATGTTATTACACTATTTATCAATATTTTAGAAATATTTATTAGTATAATTGTTTTCATATTTTGGTAGGAAATCAGATATTATGTTAAAACTGTTTTAAACATATTTCCTTAAATTAAAAATCCATTACAAATATTTAAAAAACAATTAAAATATATTATTTGATTACCTGCCAAAATATTCTTTTAAAATATTATATAAACGAATATGTTCACAATATTAACAATGATGGAATAAGTAACAACATTTAAAAAAAAAAGGTCTTTTCTCTCTTTTCCATGTAATAACATTAAAGTATGGGTATGTTTTTAGACTTGATTAATTATGTCCCTTCCCTGCATTTATTAAAATCGAAATCGATGATATTATCCCAATTTCATGACCGATTACGTGACATGACGATGTCCACGCAAATTTTGGATTGACCCCCAGTCTAAAAATATATCCATGGTAGTATAAATATATGTTTGCTGTTTGGGTATTACTATTTTTTATTATATTTTATTATAATTAATATCTGTTACAACAGATTACTGGACAAAAACCACAAAAACAACATTAAATAATAATTACAGTATAGAATTTGATATTCAACCATAGTATACAAAAAGAGAAATAACGGAAATTGATAAAATTACTTGCAAATAAACGTTTCAATGCGAATCTGCAATGGAAACAAAAATACTAATTTTGATAAAAGCATTGTAATGACAATACTGTGCTAAAAAATGGATTTTCAGTAATAGGATGGAATTTCTGTATAAAATTATAATTTATTGCCGTTGTCACCCATACATCGTAATTATCGGTAAAATGAAAATATTTTCAAATACCCGTTGCCTGTTGATTTACATAGACATGGCAACCTAGAAATTGACTACATCATAGCGTAATTTTCCCTTTTTTTTAATAAAAAAAAAAAGTTTAATAACAGATATCTGAGAAAATTGTATATATTACAGCCCCATTCTAGATCTCCTACAGTCTAATTTACAGACATTGAGCCTTAAAACTCCACCTAAAAAATCGAAATAAAGAGTTTCCCCCCCTTTTGAAAGCAGAGTTTATGATATATATTTGATTTGTCAACGTTATTGGTAGTACTATGTCTAAAGAATATTCCGTACAAATTTGGAACCAATTTGATATTTTTAAAAATGTAATAGAGCACCGTAATTTTTAGTTGAAAAATATGTAAATTTCCTAGGTGTTGTTCTCAATTTTGAAGAGAAAATAATGAACTTTTTAAAATGTCGGTTCAATACCTTACAGGTACGATTTCTGAACTATAAAGTCGCTACACAAAGAAATTGGTACAACGGTTTAGAAGTTATATTGAGTACAGACACAAAAAAAATTTACTGCAGATTTAATAACTAGGAGTGGTTGAGGGATGCTAGATAAAAAATGTTTTTCTATTTTTATTCGAAATAGTTTGAGAATAAGCAAGTAACAGTTTATGTTTAGTAATGAGGAAGGGGTTATAAAACCCGTTTTAGTAGTAAAAAGTGTGTAGTGATTCAAGTAGGTATGTAAAAGAGTTAATATTCGGAAAAACTGATTACCGTGTTTATCACGTACATTATCTCTTACGTTAATATACATTTTTCCATCAAACAAATTATTGTGATAATTTAAATTAAGGAGAAATCCTGTTTCGTCGAGTTTGACTTTAAAATCTCACTTGAGATTTTAATGAGAATGTCGAAAAGCATCGCCTCATTAGTTACAATAACATGATGTTTTAATTATATTAACAATATAACAATGACAATGCTAGTAATGGATAGCAGGACTTGTGCTTTATTACGTCATAAATAATTTTGTTACAAAAAGCTCGACATCTTCGCTTGCGCTTCATTGCTAAAAGTAATTTATACTGGAGAGTTCATCTTTTCGCTAGTTACAGTATCCGTGACAATGACAAATAGCATGTACAAAAGTTGCAGCACTCAGAAATTCCTTGTCAAAAATATGCTTTTAAACGACTTGTGTCTTACTTGTCTGTGTATTACAAGAGCCCCACAAGTGCTTAAAAGTTTCATTCTTCTAAGAATATAAGGTTTAGAGGCGTGTTTACGAAAGGGCGAAGAAAGGGAAGTTTCATTTCTGTTCTTGTTTTCCTGCAATATGATCATTTATATCTTGTTTCTTGACCTCTATGTAGAGCTATTCTAAGGTAATTAATTATGTGTATTGTAAATCTATACACATCTCTTATACACGAATTTTTTACTTTTAGAAAATATTTTTTTTCGAGTCGACGTAATGCTAAAAATATGTAAACACTCATACTAACCTAACCTAGCTCATATATTTTTAATTTAAGATTTTGTCTAAATTGCCTGTAATGAATCCCTTAAGAGTTTTTTTTATAAAAGCTTGCATTTCTCATAGCTAAAATATTTAACTTAATTTTGTCATGTACGCGCCTGATACTATGCGCAAAAAAAAATAGTGGCCGTTTAATACATAACAACGACTGCTTATCAGACAACTTAGGTCGTTTTGTTGTATCAATATATACCAGGGTTTCATGCAAACGACTCGTCGAATCATCGGCCGTGTCTCTATGACCCATTTTGATCTCGACGAGGACTAGAAAGACTATCGGTACCAGGGGCGCATCAGCCAGCCGTACATGGCAATGCAATTAGTATTACAGTGTAATTACAGTGTTGACGCGTTTCAATGTCGCGTCGTGTTCTATTTGATGTTCAACTCTAATCTTCTCTATAGTTGGATTAATTTATTATTAATTGATTAAGTTGGACACTGTCGACATCTGGCGATTTCAGATGTTGTTGTCCGTAGTAATTAAAAATTGTATTGGCTAAAATAACTATTTACAAGGTCTTATTATGTCTTTGTAACCAACTTCTTATAAATCACATACTTGCAAAAATATGATTAGGCGAAGCCCGTAAAGTCTTCTTATATGATATGAAGTAATAGTATTAAAATAATAAATTGCCTGAATACTTGTGTGTACTAATAAACGTATCAACTATGTACGTATCTATCCACGCAATTCATTTCTATTATTAAATTAATTGTGCAGAGCGCCTTTAGGTGACATTGTAAAGTTTTTAAAGAATTCTTATAACTCAGGATTATTTGTACATAATTTACGCGAGTTCGCCCTCATAAAATAATCAGCGAAAAAAATGAACTTTTTCTCTGTTATACTTTTAAAAACAAAACTAAGTAAAAGTTATAAAAAATGTTAGTCATTTTAGTAGATAGGGGTAAATAAAAAATATATTATTTTAGTTTGGCTTTATTATACTTAAAAAATGTGTTCAGTTTTTTTAGTTACGATGCGATTCACGAATATGTTTTATTAAAAACGGGGTTTTTACTTTTAGGACTACCAATTCAATAAAAATGGAGAATATTTTAATGTTTTATGTATAAGTTTTCGCTATGAATACATGAACTGATCTTTTTGATGGATGCGTTTGTGTAAATAATAAATATACTATTAGTGGGTTCTCACTTCAGAACGTTATAATAATATATTATACGTATTATTACACACGCATACCGGCAAAAGTGGTTATTTTTTAAATTGTATTATTATTTTCACCGTCGGCTACAAATCTTCCCGGATGAATAGGATATTTAATAATTTCTGTGGCGGAGCGGATCGAGTGGAAAAGATTTCAATCTCCGCCAACGAAGACATCACTCTGTAGTCATATCACCAGGGGCGCCTGTTTTGCATAATATTATTTCCTTTATTCACTTTCCTAATTGCAAATCAGTCAATCCAGACTGAAATTCCAATTTCATGACGTACATTTTTTTTTGTCTCCATCAGTGTATTCTTATTATTATATTTTATCATTACAGTTTATTCTTGGATTTATGTTTACATTATTGTTCATTTCGAATAAAATGCAGGTACACGATATTTTGTATTATGCATGGGTCGGTTGTCAACGTGGAGAGATAATACAATTTCTCTGCAGAGCAGCGAAAAACGTCCGCAAAGAATGAGACGCTCGAGTCAACCGGAAAATAACAAACTTTTTAAGCGGACGGCCAAACTTTTGTCAGGCCTAATGCAAGCATCGTTTGATCCCCATTTATCCTAATTTATATATTTTTTGCTGTGCTACCGGCGCGGCACCGCGTCGTAAACGAGAAACTCGAGAGAAAATTTCTACCGATTTCCTCCCCATACAGAAAATCTGGTCGACCACTTAGTAGTTTTCTAAATCAAGATATATTTTCCTCGGTGCTGTGAGATATATGACTTGTCAAACTAATATCTTCACAGTTCGCATACTACACGTGAGTAGTACTATGTAAAAGATAGCTTGTACTATCAGATTGATGTTTGGTGGATTCTATATTTTTTTTTAACTTAGAAGAGATGCGTTCATATTTCAAACAAAAACATGTACATGTATAACGTTACAACATAAATGGCACAAATAGTGTAAGAGTCAATAAATAGTAATAATGCCTAATAATAATGATGATAACAATAGTAATAGATATATCAGTTTTGGGAATATAAAATAAAAGAGCATTTACTTAAGTCTTTAGATTAACACATATTCGGTATTAGGCTTTTAAATTCGTTGATATTCTTATGTGTGTATATAGTGTAAATAAATTAAATGTTTGTAACCATGATAACCCAAAATAAACACTTGGTTTGTAACCATGGTAACCACGGTACTCTGGCAAATGGTAGGTGATGATTAAAGGAATAGGCCGATTCTATGTACTACGATTCTGGGCAAGCTTTTAACTGTGACTGGGACCCTTGAGTAAGAAGAGGACATTATAACCGAAAAAAAGTGTCACAAAAACGCTGTCACGCTGTTATCTGATAAGAGATTAAAGATGAGGGGTAGGGTTGACGGTGGGGATGGGAATGGAGGAATGGGAATTATTTTACTCAGCCCTGGCAGACTAAATCTCGGGCAACGCCGGGTCCGGATAGCTTGTAGTATATATTAACCATGCCATATGCCTATTGTGCGAATATTGTAGTGTACTGATTGTATATTTTTCTAATAAAAAAAAAATTTAAAAGTAATTTTTGTTTTTTATACATCATATTTTTTTTGCGCAGGTTCTTCTTTATCCAGAAGAAGGTTGGGCAAGAAGTGCGGTTTCAAGTTATTGGACATTGACTCCGACCTGGTGGAACCGTGGCAAGTGTAAAGTTGTAGAAGTTACTGGAACCAGAAAGTAAGCAATGAGTGGTATTTTCTAGAAAAAACTTAAGCAACTTATGGTTATATATAATAAAATAATATTTTTATAATAATCATAGATTGCTATCAATTATTTTAATTACATTTTACTTTATTTAAGCAAAGTCCATCGCAAACCGGGGAACCAGTATTTTTTAAATATTATACATAATTGTACATTGTTGTTAATAAACGATGTCGGACTTGGAGGGTAGCAAAGCGAAAGCGTTTCCCTCCCAGTCTGGGCGATTCAGAGATAAAAAAAAAACAAAATCCATGCTAATAAAAAAAGTAACATAATAATTACCTATAACATATAAGTTACCTATGTAGTACTTTAATTTACTCGATAGATCATAGGTAGACACTACCTTTTAGATAATAAGAAACATGTTATTGCCAACTTATAGTTATTTTATTAAATTTGATACTTCTATTTTAAAGCACTACTCACAAAAACACGATTCATATGCCATTTGGGTAGTACAAGCTTGAAAATGAAATTTGATTTACATATCCCTAAATGTTGGCAGGAACATTAATTTCCTCTTCTTAAATTGGAATTTTGGTCTACATAATATTATATTATACAAGGCCTTTCATAAATCATACCATGTAGTGTCCGTATTGGTGATACAAATGTATGTTAATATACAAACTCGCATATCTTATTGAATAACTTTAAGGTCACGTGCTTGTTAAACCCCAATATATTACATTTATACAATTTCAGTTTCTCCGACCAATATATACTTCTTATTATTTTGTGTGTTTGTATCGATTTATTTTATTTTTCACAAAGTTATTCGGCTCGTAAAATGGTCATACATTTTTCATGACTTCAACGTCTTACCGTCACCGGTCGTGCGTTTAATAAGCTTCCACGCATTATGTATGGATTCTAATTTCCAACAATGATTTTGCAAACACCCCGCAGTATATTATGACTGTTATTCGATTCAAGAGGCGATTCCTGTGGAAAACGAGGGACATAAAAGCCGAAAATTTTAATCTGATTTGCTGTATGGGGATTCCTTAACAAGATATCTCGCAGTGTATTATTTGTCTAACGTAACATAATATTAGGTGTTATCGGCCGCGTTGTTCGTTTAGTATTCCAAACGACATCGTGTAAAAGCCGAACGGGCAATGGGAAGAATAGACAACATCTCCCCTAGTCCTTTGCTGGTTCCCTACGGTGTCTCCGTCTCCTCATCCTTTTCCTGTCTTTACCTCTCTCTTCTCTCCTCTTCCCCTCACTTCGTCTCGTTCTCTGTAAACTTAATTATAATACCAATGTCTGTTGTTTTTTTATTTGTTGACGTCGTTGTTTTCCATTTTTGACTTCACTATAACATTGTACACTTCCCAGTTATTTTTTTTTTCGGAATCAGAGACACAAGTCGCTGTACACAACACCCAATATCATTATACAAAATCTAATAATATCTCGCCTTTTTATTAAAAATGCAGACATAACAATATAAACGCTACAGCGACATAGTGTAAGTAGTAAAGGAACACTACTATAAAAACCCTATTAGAATGATTAAACATCAAATTAAAACGCTTCAAAAAAAAAGAAATATCTTTTTTATTTCATAAAACGTTACGGATCTTAATATTTTAATCTGACCGTATTTTATTAATTTAGTCAATAAAATAGACTACAATATTACAGTGTATTGTATATATTTTTAATTAAAAATATCGTGTAAGATTCAATTTTTGTTTTTCGCCGCTATTTTATTTCTTCGGGCAGTTTTTTCTAGTTATTTTTTATTTGTATTTGATTAAAGTTTATCAAACTTACAAATCTTAAATGTAGGTCCTATAGAAGATTAGACTATTATGTAAAACACAGAAGGAAGAAAAAATGAAACTTGAACCGAATGTTTGACTTGAATAACCCTGATTACATTGAAGGTATATAATAATAATATATATATACCTAAAATATAGGATTAAAGTATTAGGTTAATACTAACTGATATTGAACTGATGAAATTAAACTTAAATTGGTTCGTTAAATTATTTTCTATTTTCAAAATAGTATATGCTTTATTATGCGTAGAACACGTTTTTTTAATATTACGATACATTTTTCATGAATTTATAATTTGACATGTTCCAATAAAGTTGTACGCTAACGTAACAACGAAAATAACAAAATCGAATTTAATAAAATATGTGAATTTATGAAATCCCTTAACGTATTTAACATAATTTATTTATTGGGTGGACTTTCAACGATGATTGGTCAATTTCATTACGACTGAAAGTTTGTGACTCACGTAAATATAATATGCCTTTAATTTAACAGAATAAGAGTATATTTTTCTGAACAGAACTAATACTTACACAAGCGGTAGGAATAATGAAATTGAAATAATTATACATATGATATTATAGGTATTAACATTTATTTTATGGTATAGTAATATAATAATTGTATTTTAAAATCAATGGTATTAGATACACAATCTATTCAACAATTAAAAACTTGAACAAGGAGACATAAATTGTACTATTAAACCTTTATGATTTTCTAAATAGAAATGATTGAAAATCATTATATACAGTTAAGTACGAAATCGTTTGGATTACTCTTAAACTACTGCGTTTCGAAGAGGGTCATAAGGGTGGGTACTCCGGTACTCGTAAATACATTAACAATGTGATGACTGAGGGTATTCTCTTTTCGATGTACTAATACTCATTAACACCTTTAAGGTGTCTTACACACAACAAGTCGAAATTGGAACAAATGAATCAATTTTTGCTCTCTACTTCGTTATTTTCGTAACATTGAATTAATTATTTCTCATCTAAATGTCTGAACCGTTTAAATAATAATTGCTTCACCATCAAACAGATGAATTTATATTTTAATAATTAAAGGTACATAAACCGTGTAATTAGGAAATGAGAAACGTATTTTACGTGGTTTATTTTTTCTGGTATTAATCTGGCCAGTATTCATCCATGCAGTCATGCCATTACTATATGAAATTAACTTTTATTCCTAGTGTTCTTATTTTACTGAACGACCAACGCTATGTTTCCCCGCTTCGTTTCATTTTTTACTCGGGTATCGATTTGTAAAGTTTTTACTTACTCTAAATAAATATATTCTTGATTACAACTTAACTAACATTTCATATGATTTGTTATCAAATAAATAAGGAATAGAGTGATGCTCATGTTACTTTTTTTAATAAAACTTAATTACTATATTAGTCTAAATTCGTATTATCAAATTAAATAATCTTACGTTAAGTAAGTTTCTTTTTCTTCTCTTTTCGTTTAAACAATATGTTATATACGAACAATTTACACAAAATAAGGTATATTAATTATTAATAATCGATACATAAATAAATTATTATTATTATTACAAATATAACTTACCTATAACAGAATCGATTTTTTATAACTTATTACGTTTACATTTCAAAAGTATAATTTACGCACAATTTATTAATTATTCTATAATATTAAAAAATCCGCTGATCGCTGACCTTGCCTCCAGTAATATCCCTGAAAATCCACCCTGTTGTTTAAAAAGAAAATTGTGTAGAGACTTCCTAACCTAACTAACATCATTCTTCCAGCCACTAAAGTTCTTTAAAGTATCTTTAAACACGTCGTACACAACTAATATATCTTTGTAATACCTTATACTTATTGTACTAATTTTTAACTGTACAGATTGTATATTTTCCTAATAATAATAAAAAAAAAAATTTTTATATATATAAAATGTATTATTGCAAAGGTTTATTCATGTAGAAATTAATTTTATAATAAAAAGGATTTAACTGAAAGTTATCGAGATCATTAAAACTGCTAAAATTACTAGTTTTCACTAAACCGCAAATATCTGATAAAATGTCATAAGTATTCCGAAGGGACCACGTTTGTGTATAGCTTACGCTAGCGGCTGGCACTAAGTACTTATTTGAACCCATAAAACCCGATTCGATATATAAATTATAATGTATATACAACCTGACGTCTGGCGTTTGTTTACTAAATTATAAACAGCATTGGTCTCTAGGGAGTTATGTAAGGCTTTATTTGTCATGACCAATTATACGCATTTTTTAAAATTATAAAATACATTCTCTTTTTGATTATTCCCTGCTGAATAGTCGGGTTGTGTTGTATTTATGAGTTGTGTTGTGACAATGTGTGTTGTTATTGTTACAAATATATAAAAAAAAGTTGTTTTTACCGTATACTGTTCTATGCCTTGTGCCATTGTTTTTTTTTTTTTTTGAAAACGATATTCGAAAATGGACAAACTAAAAATGGGGGCTAAAGAATCTATAGCTCTTAAAAAACTCATTAATTCATGAAACATAAAGTCATGCTGTTAGTATTAGTAATCCCTCATTTCTACGTAGTACTTCTGTTTTTAGTACATTAAACCTCGACTAATATGTTAGTCGGTTTGATGAACGATAAAAATGCTATTGCGTTTAATCTAATGAAAATTAAAAGATTTTAGGGTTAGATTTCTAAAATAAAGGAAATAAAATAAATAATTCAAAACTATTTCAAGCTATAAGCCCAAAAAAATTATAAATTACATATATGTTGTAAAATAATTTAGGCAGCTATTTTAAACTTAATTTAAGATTTGCTTTCCACATACTGTTCATCCATTATGCGTTTTTTTATGATTTTAGCAGAAATGCAAACTATGAAAACTAATGAACAAAAAATAACAATACGTTGCCTAACTGCTATTTTATTGTGTTTATCGTTTATAGAATATGTATTCAGTAATAACTAAAATAATAATATTAGAAAAGTTATGAACAAAGAGAAATAGGAAAGCCAACTATAAGTTTTATTAATATTATTGTCCGTTTGACAACACCTTACTCGGTTTTAATTATCAAAGGAGAGGTTTGTAAATTTTATCCGTAGCGCATGTATAATGAATAATTAATCTCATCTGTAATATTGATCGTAGGGCATTACTCTAACAAGATAAGACGTTGGCAGCAAGTTTCAATTTGCATACCTTTAGACAAGCAATAAATCTCAAGTCCCTAAACGGTAATTCATTGCTCAGATGTTCAACTAAAGGCCTGTAATATTGCCTTCAACAAACGAGTGAAATCCATTTCAACTGTACGGATTGATGAGAAGTTGTTCCGGAATTCATAATTTATTTATACTCTCAAAAGATTTGCTTAGAGCTTTCACAGAGACGTTTGGTTCACGGATACTAGACAGTCGCAATTCAGTTGATTTCTGACTTTTAACATTTCATACGGTCGATTAATCTCTTTTCGGGTAAAGGAAGCTCGTTAAAACGCAATGGCTGCACCGGTACGCGTGGTTAGATTAAAATGAACGAAGGACAGAAAGAGAGAAAGAGAGGGCAGACGAGAAATAGAGAGAGAAAGAAGGTAGGAAATTGGCTTGTTAAAAGTTACCGTGTCGTTGTCGATATATATATATATATATATTTATATATATCCACTAGAAACTACTTGCGTTATAGATCGAAATTCTATCGTTGAATTCTCCCCAAGGGTTATATTGCGTCCTGGCCGATGAACCGCAAAAGAAAATATTTGATGAACCGTTTGAACGTTTATTGAGACGTCTGTCATGTAACAGATGCAGCTGTCTGAAACAATGGTATCTAAATATATATGTCATAATATACAATTTCGTTGGAATGTGCACATTTAAAATTCTACAAAAATCTTCATTTCTTAAAGAATTGTGTAGCAGTTTGTGTCAACAAACTTTTTGAAACTTTAAAGTTATTTTAACCCTCTTAATTTTAAGAGGGTATTTTAGGAGTTTAGAAGCTGTCAACTTAAATCAAGGAAGTAACTATGTGCTTAAATTGTTAATTAAAATCCTTTTATGAGTAAAAAAAAAGATGAAATATGTAAGGGTCCATAAAAAGCAATTAGTATAATATGATAAATGTAGGTTAATATTACCTAGCCAGTGTTTTATTTTGAAATAATATTATGGCCTACAATGTATGCTATAAGTTTTAAAATTAAAGCGAACATCGAACATTTTTGTACGACTCAATGTGATAAAAATGACGAAAATAATATTGAAAATTATAGCCTTTCTATTTTATAGTCAAACTATAATGAATGAAAAAGTACCAGTTTAATGAGAGTTTGTTGAAACGCTTAACAACAAAATGGAAAGTACGCGATAATAATTATTCAAATTACTTTTCTGCGTCTGTATTCATATATACCAATACTTATTTAGCTTGTATTATTTATGATGCTCCCGAGGACATTCGTGGGCACACTGGGCTTTTTAGGATTCTACCGGCTTGCCACCGTCGTTATTTTAGCAAGGAATCCGAACCGTTCGGAACAGGCGAAATCTTTGCCCTTTATTACAGTCGATTCCCGTCGGAGCACACAGACAATATTATTATTGCGGTTATTGCTGCGTGCATAATTTCGGGCAATTCGAGATGGGGTGTAGCTGAAAATCGCTTTTGAACGCCGGAGGTTAAATTATGCAAGAAATAGTCTTTATGGAATGTATACGAAGGGTGATAGACTACTTCGAGCGACACACGATCAATGAATACAAAATATAATCTAAAACACGTTTACTGCTAGTGTGTTCCTAGTCGTTTCCTAGATCATTCATTTCCGTGTTTTTACATGTTTAATTTATAATTTGCGTGATATGATTCCTACTTGTATTCTTTGAGTTCTCTAAAAGTAAGGAATATTTACAATTAGTCATTTCCCATTTTTTAGCATGCCAGTCGGTTTAGCGTTAAATGACCATAATAAGCTATTATTTTTTTATTTGACATCATTTATAATCGCCTACTCGGTAAAGTATTATCGCAATAATGTTACATTAAAGAGCTTTACACGTTAAACGCGATTTTAGTTTCCCATTATATTAAATATGGACGCATTATATCAACCTACTACGCTGCACGGTATTTAAGTTGTATTTGTTGTAAGACGATGTAAAGCACACGGGCTTTTTGCAGTAGTCTCATCTTCAAATGTCGATACTGAAAGTGGCTTATGTCGAATATCTTCAGCTGAATTTCCAATAAATTCTAGTCACGTGGAATGTATGGAGGACGCATAGCTGTATGCGCACAGCTCGCGCCATTTAGTTTTCGTAGTCGCCTCAACAATGCGTTTAGAGCTAATTACAAGTAATTTATATTTTATACGTTTTTTTATAGACAACAGCCGGGATGGCTAACCTTTAGTCAGCATCCCTACAAAATGGTTTTCATATTTTCTCAACGAATTATACGTTTTACATTATTATGTATATCGTGTGTATGCACATTTTGCACTGAAATACGAGTAGACACAGTACTATTTTAATTATATTTTTATAAATAAAATGTTATTTTATATATTTTTGATTTTTGTACGTTATTATTTTGAAACGAACGATTATTTTAGTTTTTATATTTTCTGTTTTCATAATGTTTCGTTTACTCCCTATCACTTATCTATACCTTATAAGGTTATTTTATAACAAAAACGATATTATTATGAAAACACAGTTATAGAAGTTAGAATACACAAATTATACTCATGCGTACGTGTAATAGCAGACAAAATACTTATTAAAAAACTATAAATTTTTTTTATCAGGTACACAACTCTTGCCAAAATGGTGGACATCGATTCCTGTAACCTCTGCATTATTGGCTCGTTTAAAAAACGTATGGATCCTGATTTTAAAGTAAGTATACATTATGACGTATGTTATTTAATTTGATCAACACATTATAAGCAACTAAAATAAAATATGACCAGTTTTGATAAATCTGATTAGAATATTTTGTAAACGAAATCTAACGTGCAAAGTTCATGTAAGTAAGTTTGTATTTTTTTTGTAGTCCATTATCCATACGAACACGATACTACCATTTTTTAGAAATTTGTCTTTGTCTTTAAGAAGTGTACACTTGTTTGGATCCATGTTGAAAAGAAGAGGTTTATTTAATTTAAATTCGTATGAGTTCAAAATAGAAAACAGGGATAAGCCCGAGGCCGGCAAAGTAAACAAATGAGAAATACTGAAAGAAAAAATCAAAAACAAAAGAAGTTTTTAAGATAAATAATGTTTGGGAAAAAATGTCTACAGACAAATCTGTTCAAATCCATAATACTTATAAGTTATAACTTAAACAAAAGCGCGACAAACTTTTTATAAAGGTATTGTTTTTTTTTATTCTGATTATTCAATTTATGCACTTAAAAAGTTTTAAAGTACATTACGTGACATTTTTTCTTAGTTCTATTTTATTTTAGTTTTAGTTTTAAAATGGAAACAATGTGATCGACTTGTATGGATTTTACATTATATTATGTCACAATATGAGACTCTAGCCATGGCTTTAGTAAAATTAAAATTAAAAAAATACATCGGATAAGTACATTTAATATATGTTAGCATTCCAAATTCACACAAAAAAATAATTTCTTACTTTTTCGAAAAGAAATTACCTTTCAATATTTTAGTTAATTTAAAAATTTATGCCAACATTTATTTTTATAAAAACCATTTTTCATATTGTTGTTAGTGTAAATAAAACAGTCACAGAATAAATACGATTTCTTTCCCGGAGTATAGTTTAAGTCTTAATATTTCTATTAGTAACAAAAAGCGTGTTTATATATAATAATGCTATCTGTTGTTTTTGCACAGAAAACTGCACTTGTAGAGTTCTCTTGAGAGTTTTTATTATAAAGAGGTAAACTACCATTAGAGTTATTTTGAAACAGTTGTAAGCCAGTCAGCTATGCCTTCTTTGTTAAATTAAAATATAATGAACAGTAAAACATTAAGAATAAAATTAATAAGAACAGATAGAAGTAAAGATACTCATCACTAACTGGGAATGTTTTTGGATTGAATTAATTAATCAATCAATATTAGAAACAACATTTTATACAATTATTTTAATATCTGAATTATGTAAAATATTTTTTTTGCGGTCCAATTTCGATTTTTACATATCTGCATTTTAAGTATACTTTATTTGGTATTGATAAAATAGACATCTCGAGTAGATGATTTCTTCTTGTGGTACTAATAACAGTTTTTTTTTATCGGTGATATTAATCGAAAAGCATTTTTCATGGGTTCTTTTTTTTTCTCTATAGTAATAATAATATTATAATCCTATAAAGGCGAGTTTATACGTATACATGAATTATAAAAATGTTACAAATCCGGATTTAAGCCGGGAATAATGGCAGATTTTTACAATACAAAGCGACGAGCGGAGGGGCGTGAATGGAATATAGGAAACATGTGTAAATCGTTGGGTATAGGTTTTTACTTTTTTTTATATTTTATGTTAACGTGGTTGTGCGTATATATTTTCAATCATGCTTTTTCTCGGTCTATCGATTCCCCGGCGTTTCTTTTTCGTTACACGTGCAAAGAGATTTTAGTTTTTTTTTTTGGCAAATCATATTTTTATGCGTAGCATTTTGATGTTGTTTGTTACATTTTTTCCAAAGCAAATGATAAACGGTTCGTTTGACCGAGCTGGGGTAAAAAATGCGTGAAAGTTGCCGACGAAACTCGCGTATAAAGCATTTTTTCAAACTATCCGTCATAATACATACGAGCTTCTGTGTTATTTCCACTCGACTAGCACGACGACCGTACGGACGAGAATACCTCTAGATTTTTCATTTAATGCCAGTGAGCCTAAAACAATGTGGAATATTATGATACTGTGGTTTTAGGCGTTATATTTCATTTCGCTGAATAAAACATCAACGTCCTTATTTCATATAAAATCTTCAGACGTTCGGTTGGTTTGGAGCATGATGGAGTTATAGTCATTTTAGTAACCGCCGAATTCATCGTGAATTCCATTAACCCTGTGCATAATCAAATAATTTTGGAGGTTTTTATTATTTCTTTTGCTTAACGTAGAGTCTTATGTGGCAAGCTAAATTAGGTAAGGATGAAACTGATGTTCGTTGGCTTGGTTTCTTTTATTATAGTATATCTACTGTTTAGAAATCGTATATGTTTGAAATAAATTAGAGGGTCAAAAGATAGAAAAAACAAGTTTAACTTAACGAATTATCAACATTTTTAAACACCACTTAAATTTTCATATAGAAAATATTTATAAATATATACATGAAATTCCATGAAATAATAGTAAAATTAGAATGGTAAAAAAGGCGGATACATAAAAAAGCCTCTATGTGATTACTTTAATTTAAAAATATATATTATACACGACCATGAGAAACAGTTATGATTATTATTTTTCACTATTCTGTAGATTAATATTATAAGTGTATATCGACCAAGTGGTTTTAGCATTAAAGGTATATTCGTAAATAAACAATTATTTATTCTGACGTTGGTATATGAGGTGTTTAGTGCTGTCTTGATATTTATGCAGGTTCTATGTAAAATTGACAACGCTGCGTGACGAACCCTGTATCAGAGAATCAACTACTTAAAAATTACTTGTTTTTTCATTTTTAAAAAAGCTCTTAGTCTTATTTTTTAGGTAAAATTTCCACAGTCAACATAATAGAGAGCATTTTGTATTGTACAATAATAAGTTTTTACTTTTTATTATTACCATTGAGATACACTTCTTTACTCATTCAAACATAGTATAACACAGTGAATACTATACAAATTTTTTGCTAAAATATATTCCAAATGTTTTACACGTTTTGATATTTGAAAATAATAAGTAACAGACATATTTTTATTGTAGACCCTTCTATGTCAATATTTATTGGTCATAATTATACATTCAATATGAGGTAAAACTAAAGGATAACAACGATACAACAATTTGCAATGTATTTGTATGTATTCACTCATCTACACGAGTGTAATGTTACATTTTCATAAATGTCTGTATCTCCTAATAATTGTATTACTTGATCAGTTTCACTTGTCAATTATAAAAAGAAATAAAGTAAGTCAACTGACACTAGTTGTTCGGTAGCGTAACCTAAGTGGTAATTTAAGTTTTAATCTCCTTGGCCCGTCGCGGAAATGTGTGGGAACGACGAGACGAAAAAATAAAAGGACTCCTGCGTCGTTTCTATTTTCCTCAAGTAAAACTAAAGGGGCTTTTGTGTTGGCAAAGCGGTATAACTAAGCATCCACCACGTGCTCTGAATATTGCACACCGCGAAATCGTTGCTGTGTTGTGATTAAATGTAGTTTATGGATACATTACATGGCATTTGGACCTTGGTAATTATTGTGTATATCGATCCACCAAGTACAGGCAGCGTTAATTTGAAATGATTATTATAGGTGCGTTTAATGTTAATGTAATGATAATGTCTTTGTTATTTTCATTATCATGATGGTTTTTCTCTCTCTTTTAAACGACCGCACAACGGGTCGTTCATGGCTCAAAATAATTTAACCAATGAAAATGAACAATTTTTTTCGTGGCGAGTTTTCAAAGCAAACGTGACCCACTGGCTTTTTTTTTTTGGGGGGGGGGGGAGAGAGAGGATAAACTCGCATTAGATTGGTTTTCTCACTTTTCTTTTAGTTTTAGACTAATATCCATACTACAATAAATACTTCTGTGTTACTAAATTATAAATTATAATTTTAAATACCATTTTAATCTATAATTGCGACAATAAAATCTTTGTAACGGGTTGGCTCTAGAACCACTTATCCGATCGACACGGGTATTTTCAATTTATAGAGTATACCACAGAGGTTTATAAGCGTAGTTTAAATTCATAAAACGTAAAAAAAAACTAACAACTCAGATGGGATTTGAACTCGGACGTCACGCGTCCCAAAGAGCTGATTTGCCAGGGATGAATTTTTGTACCTTCGGCTAAACTGTAAATACACTTCGCTGCTATTAATATGCGTGTTTGTGTGTGTTTTTAATAGGTATTATTACCTAAATTTGTTTTAGTATCTATTTTTATCCCGGGAAAAGCCCAAACGGGCAGTTAGTATATTATACGTTTTGTCAAATAATCATTAAGCAAATTACACATTTGGAACACATCATAAATATTAATGGGCTAGTTGCAAATTGGTGTATTTTTAACTTTTAAGATATAAATCGCTATGTTAATGTATCATATTAATAAAAAATTTAGATAAACGAGTTTCAAGCAATAAATATTATATAGACGATTCGCGCTGTACATAAATTACTGAACGTCCTTAAAAAGATAAACAGCCTAAAAACGTTTGAACGATTATTATAGGGATAAATGCGCTTTTAATTCAATATTCAAATATTCAAGTAATTTGATACTGTACGGCTCTTTAGGGAGTCAATTGGTTGACTATCCAATTGGCCATTACATTACCCTCAGGTATCATCTTGAATTTATCTGTATTTCCTCTATACACTGGTATGTGATGCCGGCAGATGGCATTCAGTAGATTATAATATAAACACTTTATTAAAAATAAAATTAAAACATAATATAAATATCACTAATTACACTGTACCTAGAAAACCAGGCATTAATATTCTTCTTCTTCTTCTTCGGTTTTTCAGAGGCCATTGAGGCCCATTACCGCAACACAAATTAGCTTCCACCTGTCTCTATCCTGTGCTACTGCTTCCATATCTTGTATTCCAATTTCTTTTAAAGCCTTTTTTGCTTTGTCTATCCATCTTTGCTTTGGTCTGCCTAGTGGTCTTTTCCCAAGGGGTTTCCATTTTAATACCGCTTTAATTAGGCTAT